AACTCGCACTGCTAATCGATGAAGCATGAACATATGGTATCAGCCACGTATGCTGAAACGGCTTCTCCCCCCCACAGCCACCGGCCATGAAGATCTCGATTCTCCTTCTGGCACTCCCAGTGCTAGCCGAATCAGCAATCAGGGCCCCAGTGCAAACCGACCACGGCTGCTTCCGGAACAGCTACCCACCTTGCAAGACGGCGTTTGCTTGCACCACCGGATTCTCGCTGCACTGCCAGCTGTTTCATTATTCAGAAGGTTGTGACGGTTGGTGGAGACGGGGAGCCTTCGACGAAGCATTGGACTGTTGCCAGTGCCGAAGCCCGGGCTCACCGCCCAGCATTGTGACGCCGACCCTGCAGTCTTCTGAGTGCTGGGAGAATTCGGAGAAGTGCCGATTGCCAGGGCAGCATGTCCCATCGTGCTGTGGCCGGAAAGGCGTTTGCCCCGAATACTTTGTGCTTTCGGAGCCCTTGACGGTCTGTGGGCGTCGGGACTGCGACTTGAGCGAACTTCAGAGCTACACTTGGACAGAAGTCACGAATGCCTCAAGCAGCTGCTGGTTCGACGCGGAAGCAGTGACATGCCAAACCTGCGTCTATGTCGGTGACACCACCACGGTTTCAAGTACTTTCACGGCAACAAGCACTACGACGTTGACTGTGACTGTGCCTGCTGCAGCTGTATGGGAGCCGGTTGGCGCCCCAGGTGAATCTGCGTGCCGTGGTCGCAACGTCAACGACAACTTGGGCGTGTACTATACGGTGCACGGCAGCAAGAGCATCGAGGAATGCAAGGATCTTTGTCTTCAGCACTACCCAAGGTGCAAAGGCATCGAGTACAGCAACAATCGATGTGAGATCTGGACTAGGCCCCAGGGTATTTACGTCTCAAAGCACCTCAGTGGTTTCACTTGTCTTCGCTTTGGATGGGCCACCCAAAGCTTGTTCGCGGTGGATGGGGGGTCGGGGCGGGCCTGTCGGGGAACGTCGCCCACGGACAACTCGGAGGCGTACTACTCAGTGTCGAAGGCCACCGTTTTGGAAGATTGTAAAGCCCAGTGCTGCGCTGCAGCAATTTGTTTCGGCATCGAATTCAGCCTGGGACGTTGCGAAATCTGGCGGCGGCCCGTAGAAGCGGTAGCCCAGCGCCCAGGTTTCACGTGTTTGGCATTGTGGTCCGAGTCGATCCTTCCTTGAAGAGGATCCGGCTGGTGGACCAAGGTTGCCAAGAAACAGAGAATAATTAGTCAGTGCCCACTTCGACAGCATAGAGAAATAGAGGAGGTTACATGCCTGCGGGTGGGATGACGTGAAGATGCACCTACTAAATGGGACCCTAACCTGTTGATGTGGGAACCACACGCTTGGCCTTCGAATACAGATGGGAGTTTCCGAAAATAGGGGACCCTGCTATAGTACCCCAAATAGTAGGATCCTTATTATAAGGAGTCCAAACCTCTTGTACCCCTTGTTGTCGGAAACTCCCAGATGGGGACAGACTAGACCGGAGGGATGCTGTGGGCACACGACCGGGCAGCTTTTCTCGGGCCGGCTGCACTGATCATAGTATTATAACTTTATAACGGTAGATTCCAAAAAAGTTGGAGCTTCGTTGTCCCTTTGTCTCAGGGACAGATGAACCTGTGGCTGCAAAGAAGGGTTACTGTGCCTCGACTTGCTTTGTGGCAAACTTGCCGGCGCATGAGTGTCCTCCAGCTGGAGCCGGAGCTAAGTCAGCCCACAGTCTCCCACTGAAGCCGCCAAGAGTTCAAGGCATAGCTCGGTCTTGCACCACAGAGCCAGAAGCCCTACTCTAAAGCCCCAAGCGCAGGACCCAAGTCTTGATCTACTCTGCGAGCCGTTGAGTGTGCAAAGCGCTGACCCTCCAGGCTTCCGCCTGAACCCTGGTTCCTGAACACTTGCAGTCACTTGCAGGCGCCGCAGCCTGTGGCTACAGCCGCCGGTGAGCGTCAGGTCTCTGAGTGCTCTCCGGCAGGCGACGGCTTGTCCGTTTGTGCCTTCGCTTCTCAGGTTTTAGGGACTCGTCGTCATCGGGTTGGCGGCAGTGATACGATGTTGGGTGAATGCGAGCCGATTCCCCTGACTTCTCCGATTTGGATTTCAGGGTTTGGCCCGGAGAGGGTGCATTCTGGATTTTGGAACTCAGCACTGGCTCTTCCGTGCTTTCTCTAGTCTTCACTGCCAGCCTTAGTTTTCCAGCAGCCCTACTGTGGATGGACTTGCTTTTCATACGCATCTTTTGGTGATACCCCGCGCCCCCTGTTGAACCTTGGTTGTGAAAGGCTATTGGCCCCCAAGAGCAGAACGCCCAAGTACTTAGTCCTACTTGTAGATGCCAATGTTAAAGTGGTGCAATGCCGGGCCCAATCCCAGTCCTGGGCCAAAAGCCTTCTCCCCAACACGTCCGCAGAGGCTTCGTGCAGACTGCCAGTGCCTTCCATGAACCACTGCTGGCCCGGCCCATGCCTCTTGGCGGCACCACGAGCCCGGGAAACCCTGAAAAACTCATTCAACTCCCATCAACCTGTGCCTTTCAACGTAGCTTCAATCGCCTGGGCTTCTCCCCCCCCCCCCAAGCCAAGGCCGCGAAGGCACCGCCTGAGCCGCGCAGGGTCCCGAGCAAAGAGTCGCCAGATGGTTTCCTCTTGAGCTTTGGGAAGCTTCGCTTTGGCCTCGAAGGGGGCCCAACGTAACGCCTTGTTAGAGGAGTGTTAGCAGTTTGCACCGCTTGGAGCCCTGCTTTGCTCCAATCTTATTTTCGACGTGTGGTCGCTTCCGGACAGTAGGATCACTTGAAGCTTCCGGCTGTTTCTGCCCACCAGCCGTGGTGCTCACGCTGAAGGCTCAGCACTTTCCGTACCTTCAGCTTGTCGTGTTTGCAGGGCAGTTGTTCAGAAGTGCAACGTGGGACTTGATTCAAAGTGCAGTCTGCAGTTACAGGCTTGTTGGCTTTGTTCTGCTGACACACGCCGCTGCTTCATCTCATACCCTTCGGCATCTGCTGGAGTCCAGCTTGGCCCTAAAAAAGCTCAAACCCGGAAGCCCTGTGCCTCTAACAAATCGCTGAGGCCCTTTAATCCTTGAAACCAAAAAGCCGAGCCGCAATCCTCGTCCGAGGACATGCCCGCTGAGAGCTCGGGAGATGAGCACGACTTGGATGGAGCCCGCACCCCTGGAATCGGGATCAACAGGGAACTTTCCCAGCCGAGGCATTAGAGGCCCGTGCATGTGCACCACAGAATGCAGGCTCTGCTCATGATCGAGCGCGTGATCCTCCTGTTAGAGCCGCCCTGGAATGCTTTGGGTGCTTGGGTGCTTCAAACTGTGAAGAGTGGGAGCTTGCTGGGGCTCCATGTTAGGAGGTGCCCGCACTGTACCCGGAGGTTGAAGGGATGACGCCAGATAGAGGTATCCAAGACTGGAGACCTGCGCTTTGGACATCCCTTTGGACAGGATGTGCAGGGAGCGCATGTATCTGGTACTCTGCACCCCCAGGGTGTTACTGCGCATGTGCCTGCACGGACATCCAGTAGCCGGCCAGGCAACATGACGTGAAGCCCACCATCTTCGGGGTAGAGATTGGATCGAAATCCTTCCAGGCCCTGCAAATCGCTTGAGGCTTTTCAGGCTGAGGGTCGCTACCGCCAGGAGCCGCGGTGGGATTCGGATTGGTGGTGGTGGTGGTGGTGATGAGTGGTGGCAGCAGCAGTTACCAGGAGTCGCCGTCGTCGTTCTCGCAGCACTAATTGCTGCACTACCTGTAGCAACAACGGCGGGCCAGCAGCAACAGCAAGAGGACGTAGTGACGCACCAAAAACAAGCATCCAGGTGCACAGTGTGCACATTTTCTCATGCACGCAGACTGCAACTTACCGGCAAAGGTGAGGGTCCAGATTTGGAAGTTTTGGCATGTTGGGTCTCCTACCTAAGCCTGAGCTTTCGAGTCGCACAGGATGCGAGTTGGCGGTTCATGTGTGCAGTATGGGCAATATAAGCCGATCTCGTCGCCACTCTCCACGCTATAAAACTCAGCTCGATTCTTCTCTTTGGACAGGTGGTCTATGCTGCGCTTTTGTCCAACATCTGGTGCCCGTGCTGTGCTTGCCCTGGAAGCCGATAAGCGACAGCCCCTGACGATCCGTGATGGGCCCGGAGGTCCTGCTCCTAACAGTTCGTACGCTTGGAACATACACCTTCCGCGCTAAGCGCTGTTCAGGTTTCTTTCCTGGGAGGGATCTATGTTGTTCTGCACCCGTTCTAATTTGGGATGACGACAGGTACTTGCTTGTGTGGGGAGTGCTGATTCCCATCATCAACTACCACGACGACTGACGGAAAGCAGCTGCCTTCACCAGCTCTCGAAGCCGGGAAGTTCTGGCGGTGTCACATGCTTACTTGCTCAAGCAGTTGCAGTCATCGTGGCTTTGCCACCCAGTGCATGGGTGGCGAGCTAAAAGATCATCTCCGGATGCCTTTAGTTTTGCATGGGGCCACGTTTGAACAGGGCCACCTTGCAGAATGCCTGATGGCATAAATATACATTAATACCAACAATACCCCTCACACCTAGAGCGCTGCCGTCGAATCAGAGGATTCAAAAGGGCTGCCGCTGCAAAGGCTACGGCTAAGGCTGGTTTCGGAAGGTTCGCTGTCTGCCTGTATATTCCCTTTTAAACTTTTTGTAAATGCTTCTTCTCCACATCAACATACAGGTCGCACAGCTCCGTCCCAGGCAGTGCCTGCCTGACGAAAGCGCGGAGCCGCGGCCGCGGCATTCAGACTTCGGCCTGGCGGCTCAAGGTCAAGTGCCAAAGTTCGCGTCAAGGGGCATGACGGGGCTGTGCATGTGATCGCAAGCAAAGGCACCACAATGCAAACTGGCACTGCTAGATTCTAGATCTGCAGTGATAGAAAGCAAGATGAAATGGTAGTCGGGCGTCGGGCACCAGGCATGGCAGCTCACCGCCATGGTCCGGGATGGCAGAGTCCCTCGCAATAGCAGCGAGCGAGGCCACTGGAGCCGCCGAGGCGACGGCTCCGACGACGGCCAGCTCGCTGCGCTCGCTCGACCTGGAGTTTGTGACGACGATGCAAGCGGTGGAAGTTGCCTTGGCAAGCGCCCCGCGAGCGATGCGCATTCGCGGTGAGCAGTGGGCACAGAGGCTGCAGCTGATGACAAGCGTGACGCAGCCCTTGTTCCAGAAAGACCGAAATCTGCATGCCGATCTCTTGTTGAAGTGCATCCAGGAGAAGGCTTGGACAGAGCCATTGGACAAGCATCCGCCAGAAGGGCCACTCCCATGTTTGCCGAGGCACGTGGCCTGCTCTCTGCGTAAGGCTCGTGCCGAGCGTTTAAGGGCCAGCCGGAGCCAAGGATGCACAGAGGTGCAAAGACCGTCGGATAGCTTGGCCATGGCTGCTGTAGCTGCCGTGTCGGGCAAACCGGAAGCCCGCACTAGCGGTTTGGGGCTGCCTGAAGTCTCAGTGGCCGCACCACCGGCCTACGCAGCCCTTGCAGCGCGAGTCGCACATCTCGAGCTCCAGAACAAGCAGCTCCGCCGCAAGCTGCTTGAGGCCCGAAACCGGAGCTGTGATCCGCGCCCCCAGCGCCAGCGCTCTGCCTCGCCGCCTGCACCGTCGGCAACGCCGCGCCCGCAGCGCACGCCGCGCACCCGCGGGGCCTTCGCAGCGCCGCCGCGCTCGTCGGAGGCCCGCTGCACGGCGCCCTTCGCAGCGGCCCATGCCGTGGCCCATGCCGTGGAGGGGGCGCCCCAGTCGACGGCAGCGGCTCACCCTTCGGAGCATCCAGCTCCAGCTCGAGTTCGCGCTGAGGTTCGAGGGCCGGTAAGTGCTCCGGGGCCTCCTCCGCCTGAAGGTGACACGGAGGCTTTCCTGAGATATCTCGATGCATTTCAGACTTATGCAGGCTCGCTTTTCGCGCCAAAGCTTGATTCGTGACAGCCAGTGCTGCGTACGTGGAAGACCTTGATGTTTGCATGCAATTCGCACTTCCCTGCACGGACCCTTCAGCCGACCTTGAACGACTGACTTGAACAGCTTGGTATTTGTTGTTTTTCCAGTTCCATGCTTGCTGATTGTCCGAGCTGGTTGGCGGAATGTTTCTTCGGATTGCCAAGTTCGTGCCCAATCACAGGACAAACAAATTCAAGCGTCACAGCTGCATGTTGGCATGTGTTTCGACGCTCTAGAAGCCCTTGGACTTTGAGAGAAAATGAATAGGAAGTGAGAGCTGCGATCGTGAAGGGAAGCCAGGATAAGGGTGACGCCCTGCAGCTTCTTGAGCATCGTCAGGATGCTCCATGTAGATGCTTTGGGTGCGGTAGATGTTCGACTTCGACTACGAAGACCTGGAAACTGCTGAAGCTCGGCGGCAATTCCTTACCTGGGCCTTGACAAACCTGTAGGCCTAGAGGTCTGTCTGCTTGCGGAATACGGCCAGAGCCTGTTGCAGATCTTTTGCCCCAGCAACACAGGCGAGACTCCCTGGACACCCTCAACCCAGGGATCCGAAACGGCTTTCCTAGGATCCTGCACCGGATCCGGAGAAGGTCAGCATGGGCGTTGGTTTCATGGATGAACTTCGGAGCATGGGGTTGTCATAGTTCAGCTGATTTTCAGGCTTTGCACCTTTGGAGTCTGCTTCCAGCCCTTGAGGAAACAAGCATGGCAAAGTAGGGCGGCTAGGGTAGGAAGACTTAGGGCAGGAAAGCACTTGACATGGAGGAGAAGGCGCAGGCAGCGGCTGAAGCAGCGCAGCTTCTGGCCGACGAGGTCTTGCCGAGCGTGCTGGGAAACTCAAAGTTCGGATCGGCACTATGCACTGCCGCACTGCGCTCCGTCACGAAGCCAGGCTTCAGGGCATTGTTTCTTCGATAACAAAAAACCCCAAGGGCAAGGCCAAAAGTGCGGCACGAGTAATGAACTCATGCAAACCGAACACCCACCCGCAAAAGTTGCATGTTTCGTTGCTACTCCAGACCCCGAGGATGAGGGTCGTAAGTCGTAAACTTAAACACAAAATCCTGAAACCCGAAACCTCCGAAACTCCCACGCCATCCTATAAACCGTTTTTTGGAAGGCCTTCACGGTGCGGCGGGACGCCGTGCGCAGCCTCGGCCGTCTGGGTTTGGCGGCCGGGCACGAGGGCCCAGTGCTTCGTTGCTGGGAGTGCTCTCTACACCCAAAAGCCCTCAACCCTCAACTGTAGCTGTAGCTCTTCTTTTCCGGATCTTCGTTTTGCATCATATTTGGCGATCTCTTCTGGAGGCTTTTTGAGTTCTGTCAGGCCGAGGAATGCTGCTCTCACGTCGTATGATGTCGGGAGTTTTGCACCGTGGGGCCACAGGGGGTAGCCTTCATTAGCCTTCATTGCTTTGGTGAAGGGGTCTAAGGGATTTACGGGATTAAGGGCTTAAGGGGTTTGTGGGGTATAGGATTTTGGGGTTAGGGGTTTAAGCTTTGAGGCTTTTCTTCTTCAGCCTTGCGCTGGGTGAAGGTTTGCCTTGGATCTGAGGTGTCTCCGCTTGAGGGTGGGTAAAGATTTGGGGAGCCAATGCTCAAGACCTATTTACGCAAACCTGACCACTACTTTCAAACTTCAAGCAAAATAATCTTCTACCAAGAACATGTCAGAAGCCGAAAGTTGCCTCCATGCGCACAGCGGGCGCTCGAAAGCCTCGAACACCCAAAGGTCCCCAGCTCTGAGAACAAATGCGCCCCTCGATTCCCAGCAAAAAAAATTCCAGAAGAGCCCTTGGTCAAAGTGGCCGTAACGGAGGCCTTACTTGGCCCAACTGGTGGAGACAGCGGAGTCCGACGATGACTACGAGGCCTCAGCTTAGAAAGGGCTCCTATTTCGGATGTAGGTCTCCGGGCCAGAGCTACGGTGTCGCCGAGTTGCCTTTCGTGTTGCAGAACCACCCAAGCACTCTTGGATCCTGGATGCCACGATCCAGAAATCACAAAACTCAACGTTTGTAGTTGAGGTAGACCCCGCCAGCTCAGCCACAATATCACATGGGCTGTGAGTAGGTTTCGGGCATGAGCGGTCATGGACTGGGCTTTCAACTTTGGGGACTTTGAGGTTGGGGCTTTCCTGAGACAGAAGCCAGGCGCGGAGAGGACATGTCGAGAACATGGTCATATGGCTTTGACTTCCGATGGTGCTGCCCTAGGCATTACCGAGACCCTACAGCCTACTGCCCCAAAGCAAGACAGCGCAATGCTGAAGACCCAGCTTCGAAGCTCAAAGATAACAACCTGAATCCGACTCCAAGTGAAGGCCCCAAAATTTTCCCAACCCTCAATCCAGCCCCAAGGCCACAAGGCCACAAAGAAGCACCCGAGGTTCGGCGAGCTGCCAAGCAGGCCCTCCGGTCTTTGCGGCAGCACGGTCTCTCAGCGCCCCGGGAGGCGATATGGTCTTGTCGGCAGTGTGTGTTGGCTGCATTTCTTTTCAGGGTTTCTCAGCACGTTTGGTATTTCCTCGGAGACTTTAGACCTGGAGCCCGCCAAACTCTGAGTGCTCACCTTCGATCCTACAATCCGAGCTTGAACATTGCGCGACAGGGGTTCGCGGTTTGGGGTCTTGGGGTTCTGTCGAATCTCCAGGGCTTCCAGAATTCAGGGTGAAATTTTGAGAGGCGCAGGGAGCAAGCTCCTTTCCAGCGGTTCCGCCGTTCCGATTCTCACAGCACCTCTAATGCACGCTGAAAAGCTCACCATGGAGCCCCCAAAGTCCCCAAGGCAATGAAACCCCCGAAATTCATAAATGCTCCCCAGCCCCGACACCGAAACCTCAATAAATGGATGGTGAGATGTGCTTCGATCAGGACTCTCCTTCCAACACTCTTATCCTAAACCCCGAAAAGAAAACGACAGGGACTCTAACTACCTGGCCAGGACACAACGACTGTGGCCTTGCGCCGTCCTCCGAACGAGAAGCGAGCCCAGGTGACCGCAGGAACCGATTGCAGCCAGGGATGCGCAGATGTAGGCGAGCTCTGGGTTGCAGGTTCGGCACAAAAAGAGCAAACCCTAAACCCTAAACCTTAAACCCTAAACCCTAAACCCTGAAGAACCTGAAGAAGGCCGGAGGAGGAGCCGAGGAGCCCCTTTTTTTGTCGCGCGTGAGGAGGGCGTCCAGAAGAGGACGCCGTCTTCCACGAGGAGTCTCGGGAGCCCGAGCCGCTCTTTGAGTGGACCGGACCGAAGGCCCAAAGACAGGGAAGGAGCTGAGAGGCTATAGGGTACTATAGGTATACTATAGGGCTAAAGAAAATGACAGAGAGAGAGGGAGAGTGCTTGGACCTCTGTGTAACGGGTGCCTCTTTTGCACTGCAAGAAACTGCTATGTGTAGAGGGCGCACCAGCGTGCGGTGTAGGGGGTCAAACCATGTCACCATAACCCTGGAGAAAGAAAGAAAGAAACGGAGAGTGTTTTTTTTCCCCGATGTTTCCATTGACCAGGCAACCATATCTTTTTCCTGGCAAGCTTTCCAAGAATGCTGACTTTCAGGCTCCCTTACAAAAAGGCCCCGAAACAGGGGTGCGCCTGTCGCCGCGAGGAGCTTGACTCGCTCCCTATGCCCCAGAAACAAGACAAGGTCGGGCGGGCCAATGGCTTGAGTGTCGCTAGCCGACCCATGGAAAAAACAAGAGAGAGATGGAGAGAGAGCGAGAGGGGGAAAAAAAGCTACGACAGCAGGCCAGTCAAGTACGCCACCGAAGCCGCCTACATGGGGTTTGCATGCGCCTGACAGATTTGCTTGCTGATTGCCGACATGGGGAGCTTTCTCAACACATGCCTGTCTACATGCCCTCCACCGTTCTTCATGTCAGATCAGCACATGCAACCAAGCAGTTCGTGAAAGACGTGGCCGCGCTCCGCACCTTCGGCTCGAACCCCTACATGCTCATGCCCGCCTTCATGATCCTCGCTAACATGCTGCCCTACATGACGCTTTGCTTGTTTTTGTTCAGAAACTTTTAAGCCAAGTACTTGAAGTTCAGTGACAGTCACTTCAACAGCTCCCACGGTCGGAGCACCTCTCAGGGAGGCAACGCGATGATGTTGCTTCGGATGTTACGGGTACTGCCCATGATGCTCTCTGCAAGTTGGGGGATGCACCCGCCCGGGGGA